ACTTTCCCTTGTTCTATTTCATTAAATTATGAAATATTCATTAAGATGTGACGAGGGAAACAGAGCTGCGTGTCCCAGGTCTGTGTGAAGTGTCTGGTGCTGTGGATTTAGTAACATCCTGAAGCAGCAAGGGCGGTATGAAGGGTGATAAAGTAACCAGGATGGGGAGTTGGTTAGTCCTGAACCAGAGGCTTTGCTGTGGTGGTGCAATATCATCTACTGATAGCTAAGACATGGGGGAAGAAGCAGGTTTGGGGTATGACTTAATTGAAGGGAATGTAAAAACGTGCTGCCCAGACTGAATAGTAGAGGGCTTGTCAACCCCAACAAAGACAGATGGAAATGAAGAATGGTCAGGAAGGGTAAGAAAGATTCCAGTTTGTCTATATAAAGGTTATAGAATTTATTTCTGTTAGAAAGAGGAATGGGACTCCTCAGCAGTGAGGAGTTTTGAAGGCAGGGGATAGAGATGGAGTCCTCCAGTGGCAGACCCTGAGCAGAGCTGAGAGCCCTGGGGGATGCCTGCTGAAGGAGAGGGGAATAAAACCACCCATTTCTTACAAGCATAGCAATGCTCTGCAGGTGCTACAGAGCTCTGCATGCATTTTGCATTCTCCAGGAGCTCTGCAGCGTTGCCTGGGGGCTGCCGCTTTGGAAATGTTCTTTCTGTTTCATTATCGGAGCCGTCCATACCTGCACATTTCAGGAGCTTTGTCAATCACCTTCCTGCCCGGTGCATTTCCATATCGTGTATCGTTCCTACAGGGCACGGCATTTGGACAGGAAACTTCTCAGAGCATCCCCCTTACGATGTCCCAGATGAGAACGGCAATTTTCTGTCTCCGGTTCTTGCTGGTTTCTACATGTTCTTGACAATGATAATCCTGTTGCAGGTAAAAGACAAAAACCTCTCTGCTACCTCTGAGGAAGAAGCTATACAAAACTAAGTATAATCACTAATGAGCAATTAATAGCAACTAATAGCTGTGCGGTCCCTTCTTAATCCTATTTGCAAATATTGCTAGGAGTATTTCGGATCATCCAAGTGTGAAATAAGGTATCTTGGTTGTGGGTTTTTTTTTTTCCTTTCGCACTGCAGAATTTCTTTCTTGCTGTTGCAAACCCCACAAGGATTTAGATAGGAGGATGTGTGTTATCTTTAAATAACTCCAGAATCTCTAGCATATGCAATAAGGAGGATGTTTACATCCAAATGTCAGCTTTTATTTTTTTCTGCCTATGTCCAGAATTCCAAAATAAGAATATCTCAGGAAAACAGTGAAACAAAAATTGTCATTTTTTGCCAACGGGGAATAATAATGAGGTATGGTTCAGCTGGTTCAGGAAAGAAGCTAAATTGGAAGTAGGATGCTTGTACATCTCAACCTGATTAAGCCTAATTGGGAGAGAACATTTTATGGGATGGGGGAGAAAAACCCATCCCATTGACTTTTCAGATTTCTTGAGGTAACTGCTGAGATTTAAGTGGACAGAATTTCTTTAATATGAATGAAGTGTGGAGATAACTTTCAGAGCCGCTCCGAGGTTCCTTGGGGGATTATTCTTCATTACTGAAACAGAGTATTTGTGCAGCTAAAAAATTCATTATTATTTCAGGGCAGGGGAGCTACTGGGTGGGAAGTGTTGAGTGCAAAGTAACTCCTTGTGAAACTCTTCTACCTTGAGTTAGTCTGTGCTAGCGCATCCTTTCAGGGCTTTAGGAGGGTAAGAGCGAGCATGGTCCTTATCCTAGAAAATGAGCTTTGTGAGAGCATCCTTTGAAAGTCCCATCTTTGCATTTGGCGTCCTAGGAATTCTGGCTTCAATTTGTCACTCGCTGTCCCTGTTTATCCATTGCTGTTGTGGGCAAGATGATTTTTCTCCTCCCTTGAACTGTTATTATTGAGTCCTACAATAATTCTCCAGGAGGAAAACTGTTGGTGTACCTGTGCCAGGACATTGCTGGCAGAAAGCAGCAAGACTTGTCTCACCCTTCACTGAGAATTTCATCTCTTTCAGGTTTTAATCCCCACTTCCCTTTATATGTCCATTGAGCTGGTCAAGCTGGGCCAAGTCTTCTTAATTCACAATGACATTGACCTGTACGATGAAGCAGCAGATTTGCCCATACAGTGCCATGCCCTAAATATAACAGAAGATCTCGGACAAATCCAGTACATCTTCTCAGACAAAACTGGGACGCTAACCGAAAACAAAATGGTATTCCGACGGTGCACGGTCAATGGAATCGAGTTTTCACATCGGGAAAATGGTGAGAGACACTTTTTTGATCCTTGCTTTTCTCTCTGAGCAACTAAATGTTATTCATTTAGATATTCATATTTAAACTTACTGAGCCCTGGACTGAATGCAGAGCTTTGTGGCTTTGTTTCCATTTTGTGAGGGACTCCCGTTACAGAGATTCACGAAGATGAAGGTCTTTTAGATGATGGGAAAGGTTTTCCAGTTTCCTCTGCGGGCATCCCAGGCTTTGCCCTGCATCGAGAGCGCAAAGAGAACATTCTCCTTCATTTCATTGACAGCCAGCCAACCTTTCCTAAGCACTCAAACTGAGATTAGTTGGTAATTAAGCTCAGTGGGTCCCAAAGTAACTACTGTACTCTTCTGTGTGATACTAAAGGTACAGCTACACATTTTCTTGAGTCAGCCCTAGCTGCAGGCTGTGGCTGAAGTCTCTTGGCATTTGGTGCTCTGAGTCTGGGGGTTTCACTCAGGCCCGTTCTTGGTCACTACTTTCTCTCTATATATAATACAAATAATTTTATTAAGCTGGCAAGCAGCTCCCAAAAAGATGTTCCTGCATGTTTGTGCTGAAAGCGTCAACAAATTGTGAATTACCGTATTCCTGCTCCAGTCAACTGCAAAATGCAGCTGAAGAGACCAAGCCTTAGCAGAAGTCCACAAAAGTGATTGCTTTAAAAATGCATTAATGAACCGGAGAGTGGGAGCTGCCAGAAGCTGAAGTGGATAATGAAGTTTTCTGATGCTGGCTTTTGAGATGTTTTGACTTTGGTTTAGTTAGTTTGAGGGGGTTTTTTAACCAACCAAGGGATTCCTCCTGAATAAAACCAGAATAAAAAGTAAGGTCTCATTCTCTCTTTATACAGCCAGGCGCCTGGAAACCCACAAAGAGTTGGATTTCGGCGATGAGGACTTTGCAAAACTCCAACACTTCACTCTTCCCCCCATGAACACGGAGAGACCGGCCGCGTACAAGCAGAGGACTGTGAGACCTTTAAGGAGGTGCCAAAGTGCCAGGGCTCATTTTCAAGGGCACACAAGGAACAGGTCACTCGGTCGTCGCGACAGCAACCAGTCCCAAGTGGCGTTCAGCAGCACCATCGTGAGTACCAACAGACAGAGCCAAGATCTTTTATAGTTCTCCTTTCTGTTGCGTTTTGTGATAGGAAACCAAAAGGGGGACTGGAGAAATCCAAGCCCTGGAGCTAAAAGAGTGAAGGGGGAGACAAAGCAGTGCAATCCACACTTGGAAGGGGGGAGCTGGGTGAGGGTTTTTGGGGATCTGGGACCTTTAATCAAAGGCTTCAGTGGAAGATTGGCGGCTTACAGGTGAGTTTGTGTAATGGTTGCTTGATAAGAGGAGACACGGATTTGCAGTCCAAGGATTGAGACTGCAGTTCATAACACCAAGAGGCACTTTGCACAAAGAGGAATGAGCTTTTTGTATCGTTCTGGTCCACCAAAACGCCAAGGGAAATGCATTTCTTGCAAAGATAATAGAAATCAAGCTAAAAGCACTTAAAAGAAGGAGGTCTTGAGCCTTGTCCATCAGTAGCTGGGTGGCCTCTGCCTCCCCTCGAGTATTGGCTTGGAAGTGTAAGTTGTCTTCATTGCAATCCTAGAAAATTCTGAGACTCTGCTGAATTTTACAACTGAAACTTCCCAAAAAATCTATGACAGCCTAATTAAAGCCAGACTGCTCTTTTCTTCTTGAATGTTTTTTAACAGGCATTTCAGACAAGGTTTTCATGGAGGTCGGACACTCTCAAAATTAGAACTCCAATTAAAATTAAATGCCTGGAAAACCCTTCCAAATCTTGATTTAAAAAAATAATAGTTTAATAACTACAGAATTCTCAGAATTTTGTTTTCTGCAGTTGTTCTTGGCAAAGACTTTGACTTGCTGACATTTTTTTTGGGAGGACGTAAGTTTAAGTAATGAGATCTTACTTGTCCCATTCATTTCCTCTGTCATGTAGCAGACATCAGCCAGTACTTATCCTGCTCTTGGAATATGGGGTTTTGTTTGATGTTATCCTAGCTTTTTTGAGCCCAGTCCTCATGGGATGTTGAGAACCCATGGGTCATGACTTTTGAAGTGTGATAAAGGGATTTCTTGCCAGTAGACTTCCCCAAATATCCCCTTCTGGTTAGCGTCTCTGCTAAAATAAAAGCACTGAAGTATTCAGTGGGAGTCAAAGATTGTCAAACAAAATCCTCACTATGATATTGTGAGACTCAGCTTCCTCCAATCAACAAAATGCTAGAGAAATAAAAAACCACCAACCTGCTTTACATAAAAAACCATGTAAAGTCCAAAGGGCAGTAGTTGGCATTGTACAGTTTATTGTTGCTGGCTTTTTTCTTAATAAATGTCAAGTTTCCAAGCCACATGAAAACTATTCATGAAAATTGGTAGCCTCGGGTAATGCTAAAATTGAAGAACTTTGCACTGCTGAGAAGACTCGGTGGGTTTTGGGTAAGGGTTAGCACGGCATCTGCTATGAGCACCTGCACGTCAGAACGCCGCCAAGAAAAGCATTTTAAAGCTGTTAGCACAAGAGTATCCTACAAAATGTAAAGAGTTTCATTGGAAAGTAACTGTGCCAGACAAAAAGTAATCATTTACAAATGTCACATTTATATGTGAACGGTTTTTAAAGGAAAATTATCTGTGCAGCAATCACAACATTGACTTTGTGTCGATCAGCCTCACGTGAGTCGGTGCTGAGCACGTTGTGTATGGCATTTTAAGTGCATTTATTCAGTGGGAGTTGATTTTACCTGCAAATCAGCGTTGTCTGAGCTTTGTCTCAGCATCCTGGGCAGCTCTGCAATCGGGAAGCTCCGCAGCTACCGAATGTGTTTCAGCCTCCTGGTTTGTGAGTGCTCTCTGCTCGACAAGTTTGGGTGCTTTGCCGAAATCCGAGCAGCTCTTCTCAATTAACATGTGCATTTCGGTGTGTCTCTGAGGTAGAGATGAGGATGATGGGTTTTTCACGGCGTTTGATAAAGTTAATTAAACTGGTGCCTGCAGATCCTAGAAGAATAACTAAATAGCACTGCTTGTCTTTTCTGGAATAGAAGTAAGACAGGGATGATGCAGAGCCCAGCTCCTAGGCCTTACCCTCCAGTTTTGCTCCTTCCAGTGTTTTTCACAGAATCACAGAATGTGAGGAGTTAGAAGGGCCCTGGAAAGCTCCCCCAGTGCAACCCCTGCCACAGCAGGATCACCAGAGCAGTCACACAGGAACACGGCCAGGGCTTTGGGTGTCTCCACACAAGGAGACTCCACAACCTCTCTGGGCAGCCTGGGCCATGCTCCAGAACCCTCACACTCACAAACTTTGGCCTCATCTTCAGCTTGAACCTCCTGTGCTCCAGCTTGGGACCATTGCCCCTTGTCCTGGCATTGGCCATCCCAGAGCAGAGCCTGGCTCCTTCCTCCTGACACTGCCCTTTCCAAATGGATCCCCAGGAATGAGGGCACCCCTCAGTTTGCTAGAGAAAGGACTGCATCTAAAAGCATTTCCCCAAATGTGAGCCCAGAAAGCATGAAAACACCAAGCCAGAGGGAGCGGAGCCTCCTGCGGCCAAGTCCAAAACCTTGCTCCATCTCTGGATTTCACTCGAGCTCCATGCTGCGAAATGAGCGGTAGATTTATTTGCAGTTATTAAGATGATTTAAGGACCGCTGCTCAGTTTAGCGAGCAGGAGTTACAGAGCAACATGTTCAGCCTTGCACAACGCAGCCGCTGAAGGTGGCTGCTTGACTCCTTGCTGCGGATTTCGGGAACTTGAGGAAAATGTGCCAGATTGAAGGAGGAGAGGGTAATAGCTGAGACGAGCTAGAAAGCAGCTAAATCACTTTGGCAGTTCCTTAAGGAAGGCGTCCAAAAGTGTTGGCTCACAGGAAGATGTCTTTTAAATTTGGAAGCTCCTGTTAAATACAGCCTTGAATAAAATCCAAACCAGACTCTGCTAACATGAAATTGCCATTAAAAGTAATACTCCCGTAGCCCTACACCAGATTAAATTGGAGGTAAGTGACATTGTTAAGCAGTTTGGCTTGCAAATTTGGGTTTGATTAGAAAGAGTGCGGTAGTAAAACTGCAGTAACATTTAAGGAACAAATGAGGTATGTATGCATTTATTTATTTATTATAAAAACTGAGCAAGAACAGTTTGAGACAGCTGCTTTTTCTGAGTGTGAAGCAAAACGACTCTGGAAACAAAAAGTGATGCAGCTGTAACCAAGCCACAGGGACAATATATTCCCTGTTGAAATGAGAGTCAGCTCCCACACTGACATGGGAGATCCCAAGCCCACGTCCATCTGGATTGCCCTTTAATGCTGCAGTTTCAAAGCTGAGGGATACAGTGTGGGTTATCCTTGACTGCTAGTAGATCTCAAAAGAAATAAAATCATGAAATCTTCTATTTCATTCTTCCATTTCCTGCTAATTATGTAGTTACACAGCTTTTGGAAAGGTATCTTTTTTCCCTAGATGTTAAGTACAAAAGGCGTTCACCTCACACAATTCTAGGTTTAAATTCAAGAAGAGGCAAGAAGGAGCTATCAGAATAATCCTGAGGAAGTAATTTCTCTTCCAGGAGAAGGATGTGACTCCCGACAGCAGACTGCTGAGGAGAGTGAGAGAAGCTGCACTGCAGGCTGAAAATCTTTCTCCTTTTACGCATACCAAGACCTCCACATCCCTCACTGACTTCTTTCTTGCCCTTGCCATCTGCAATACGGTCCTGGTCTCCACAGCTACCGAGCCAAGACAAAGGGTAATCAGACTTTAAGTACGCGAGGAAAATTGATTATGCTTTCATTTAACGACATAGAGCAGCGCTCAGGGAAACCTGAAATGGTGAAAAATAGTGTGTCTGGGAGTCCTCCTCCAGCAGTTTTACCTTTTGTGTAATATTTACTGTTTCCTTGTCTATGTATATCCCCTCCTAACATGTCTTCTTATGACTGCCATAGTATCTGCACTGTAGGTTTTATATTACGGATACTGTATGAAGTATGTTGAATATCCTGGGTTTTCTCTGATATCCCAGGCCATTGACAGAGCTACAAGGGGCTTGACTGCATCTCTGTCTCAGAGGTAGAAATACAAATCACCATCAAATTTGGATGCCAATTCATCTATGGCTCCTCTGCTGAATTCCCCCACCACAGTTAAACAGCAAAAAAAAAATTGCTTTTCTAATTATCATCATTTAGATACAGAAAAATACATTGAGGTTTCAAAAAGTACCTGGTAGCTGGCATTTATTTATTTTTACCCATAGTTTTTCTCGTATTTCCAGGTCACAGTCCCACCACCAATAAAACCTTCAGGAATCAGCCTGGAGAAGATCCATCAGATCTTCCAACGGCTAAAGCTAGCAAGCCTCAGTCAGTCCTTCTCATCCTCCCAGTCCAGTTCAGAGCTTGGCGCCAGCTTCAGCGCCATGAGCCCGGAGCAGCATCTCGCTGAGCTGGATTGCTGTGACAACGACGACGACTGCAGTGCCGGTGGCAGAGGCAATGCCCTCCAGGGCAAAGCCGGCGCAGATCTTGGTGGCGCGTCCTTGGATGAGGTTTTCAAATCCATGACTAACGGCTCTTTGCCTGCAGACTTTTGCTACGAGGCCGAGAGCCCGGACGAGGCGGCGCTCGTCTACGCTGCCCAGGCGTACAGCTTTACTGTGGTGTCCCGGACACCCAAACAGGTCACCGTGCGGCTGCCACAGGGCACGCTGCTGACGTTCGATATCCTCTACACTTTGGGATTCGACTTGGTCAGGAAGAGGATGTCCGTAGTGGTGAGGCACCCCCTAACCAAGGAGATCGTTGTCTACACTAAAGGAGCTGACTCTGTTATCATGGACTTGCTGGAAGACCCTGCCAAAGGTAATTAGCCATGAGCTGTTTCTGTTGTGGCTCCTATAAAGAAGCACAAGAAGTTTGCAGTACTCTTTTCTGCATGAAATACTATATCTAGGCATCAGAAGTATAAAAAAAAGAATAAGCTTTCTCTAGAGTTACCCTCATAGATCAGAACTGAGGTGTTTATTTAACCTAAATAGTGCTGAGAATATGGAATGGGCTAATTAAAATTCACTGACAGGGCTCTCCCGTGTGGACTGTGTACTCTGCAATAACACTGTCATAAGGGCCTGGCCGCTGTATTTCAGCTTGTCAGCAAGAGTGCTATAGCATTGACAAACAGACAAAAAACCCAAGGAAAGTTATCTTGAAGGAAACAGGGACCTTTAGCAAGCTTTCAGCTTATGCACAGCCACCACTTTCAAGCTTTGAAGGGGATTGCTATTATACTGGAACCCACTTTCCTCTAATGCCCACTCTTTTTTATCTTAGGCCATTAGGTCTGAAATGATCTGTGTTTAAAATACAGAATCTTTTCTTTGTATTTCACAGCTGACATTAGTGCACAGAAGAGAATGAAAAGAATAAAAGAAAAAACCCAGAAGCATCTGGACTGCTATGCCCGGGATGGCCTGCGAACTTTGTGCATAGCTAAGAAGGTAGGAGGCGTTATCCTGATATTGTTTACAGCTTTGCTCTGTACACATCTATAGATTTATTTTAAAAATATAATGGTTATAATTCAGGCAGATACAGCCCAACTTTTTGTCCTTTATTTGGTTATTCTGCAGTGGTTTTTTCCTCCACGTGAGCAGATGATGGGTTTTTGGTCAGCCCCAAATCATTCATTTCAGTTTCTCCAGCTGACCTTCCCTCCAGTGATTCCAAGCAAGTAATAAAAAGTCCACAGAGAAGCCAACCTTTTTCTGTTATACTCGGCATCCAGCTTTCAGAAACCAAGCCCTCAGCCTGGGTTAGTTTGTCTTAGCCTGACACTTGAACGCAGAAGTTGTCTGTGTGCAGCACATAGGTCATGGTCAAGGTCTGGAGAAATGTAGAGCAACCTTCACAAACTTTATGTGCCAGTTTAGAGCCCCAAGCAAGGGCTGTGTGATCGAGAGTTTCTCTGGGTCATGTTTCTATGTCTCAGCTGAAGGCCATTTACACAAACAGGAAGGCAGGTCTATTTTTCTCATTTCTATGAGTTCTTGTAGTCTTCTCTTGGAAAAGTTTGTCTTATTTTAAAGGCGACTCAGTACTTCACCAGCCTGGATAGGAGCAAAGCCTCTGTGATCCAGAACGTTGGCTTTCTTCTCTTATTTGAATTTAAAATGAGCGCTGTTTAATTACGTTACGCAGGTCTTGAGTGAGGACGACTTTCAGAAATGGGCCAATTTTCGTCGGGAGGCAGAAGCCGCGATTGACAACAGAGATGAACTGCTATTGGAGACAGCGCAGCACCTGGAGACCAAACTCACCTTGCTGGGTAGCTAAAAATAAGAGTTGTCATTGCGTGAAGTATGGCTCGCTCTCCTGTGATATTCTTGGCAATCGGACAGACAACAACTTATACTAATTTATATCCAAAAGTCCTCCTCTGGGGTTCGGAAATCTCAGGGCTAGGGTATACAGTCCAATGACAGCGTCTAAACACGCTCTCATGCATTCTGAGCAGCAGTAACTTTGCAAGGGTGTGCTGAAACCAGTGTGTGCCAGGAACAAGAACAGGTACTTCAGCTGGTACAGGAGATAGCAAAGTTCCCATCATTCACTCACGTGTCTGTGTCCTTAGGTAAACCTAAAACTACTACAGTTTAACTTCAGTTTTGAGCACAGACTCCAAGGGAATTTTGGTGATAAGACTCTGTTATTAAAAAGGTAACTTAAACTGGTGTCCACACAGAGGCGTTTTTGCTACTGAATTCCACTGTTTGCTTTCTGCACTTTGTGAAAGACATTTTATGTTAAAGCTTGCATTCATTGGCACTTGTGCATCATCCATCACTGTCGTATCCAGCAACACCATTCTGATAAATAATGCTTTCTCTTCTCTTTTGTTTCCAAGCATTTTGTTCTTCCAGACTCTTGATTTTTTCAGAGTTGCCTCATTCTTTCTGTGAATACAATCTGTGCCTGTATTTTGTTATCCTGAATTTCTGTGATTGCAAGCTATTAGCATTATGGCTTCTCATAATCTCTGCAGTGATTTCAATAATTAGAGTAATAATGGGAAGTGCCATAAGCACAACCACATAAGAGGTAATGTAGACCCTGCTGGAATTTGTTACCTTTGCCAGCTCTCAAGGCTCTGTGTGCTTTCACACTTTTATTTTGCAAAAAGCATTCTTTAAGCTTAAATCAATGCCTATCTTTAATGTATCCCTGTTACAGCATCTTCAACCTGACCTCTAGTGGAAGAGATAAGAAGAGGAGGATTGTAACATCCAGATGGTGATTTACCATCAGGATGAGTGTTGGCATCTGCCTCCAAGTTTGCTCGCTTCCAAAAAGAAAAGTTACTGTACCGTTTCCTCTCCCTTTGATGGGTGAATTATCTAACTTGACAATAGGGATAGCAGCCATTTAAATAGTCAGACTTCATTGTTTCTGCTTGCTTGGATGGGACTTAATGCAGCGCTTTAAAAACGCGTATGATGTATTTCCTCTGCCAGCGCGTTGTCGTTTTGGATTATTAGGAAGAAATGAAATGCGTTGTTCTAGCAATGAGCAAAATGAAGAGCCAGGACTTGGCTGCTGACACATTCAGATCTTAATCCAAATGCAGGTCTTGTCCCTGTGTGTTTGTTTGCTGGACCCTGCCTTGGCTCGGCTCGTGATAAGTTCAGGATCAGGACTGGGGGTGACAGATCTTTTCCTCAAAAAGCAAATAGCAACCTGAGTACCGAAAGAAAGAAAAGGAGTTCACTGCTGCTGCTTCTTTTTGCCCAGGAGCGACGGGGATCGAGGATCGGCTGCAGGACGGGGTTCCCGACACCATCGCGGCCCTTCGAGAAGCCGGGATACAAATCTGGGTGCTGACAGGAGACAAACAGGAAACAGCCGTCAACATCGCGTATTCCTGCAAACTCCTGAAGCAGAGAGACACTGTCTTCACCATTAACACTGAAAATAAGGTGAGCATAGGGAGATGCCCAAAATTTGCTACCTTCCCTGTACTTTGTGTCTTGCACCTTGGCACTGCTCTGGTTTAGACAAGAAAACAGCCAACCAAAAACCCACATTAAGAGCATCAGGCCAGGAACCCCTTAAACCACGTAAAACAGGATGAATCGCAATGCACGACACTGGTGCAGAGTTTCATTCAATTAAAGTACAATCATTTTTCCAAATGAAAACGTTCTCTAAAAATATTACCTGAATAGTGAGCTCCAGAAAGGAGGTAATACGCAGTTTAAGTGCCTGATTCCTTAATAACATTGATATCTGGCTTTTCACCTTGCAATGGAAATTTCAGCTATAAAGATATTCTGACCCGGGGTGATAACTGCAGGAAGACATTTGGAAAGTGCTGGATGAGTCAGTGTGGGAAAAGTATGCAGGTGTAGGTTTAATTTAATGAAATTCAGAACTTTCTATTTGCACGTTCCCAGGTAGGATTGGGCTTAATCAGAAATTTCTTAGTGAACGATTCAATCCAGCGTCTTTTTTTGTAGGCAACATTTCACCTTCTTGGAAACCTAAATATAATGCATGTGGGCCAGTTAAACACAGTCACTGTCTTCTCAAGCCATGGTTGATGTGCACAGATATTTCCCGAATTTCACTTGTCTCAGTTGCCTCAGTTTTCCTCCCCAGAGAAGGGGATTGCTGACACAAGCTGCCTTTCCCAATAAAGCTTTTGTGAGGATTAATTATAGTTAAAATACTGGCTGTTTTTCTCGTGATAGGCTCTATCCCAGCGATCAGATGGCCTACTTTCTAACTGCTTTTGTCTGCAGTTAGTAGGTCTACAAACAAGAATAATATCCTATGCAAATGTCTCTATCTTTTAATGTCAGGGAAATCGGGAAACACGCAAAGACGCTATGGAATTTGGCATGGAAAATACGGTCCTCGCTTCGATGTGTAATTTCATTTGATACGCCTATCTGCTTTAACGGGAGGCAGAATGGATATATTTAGGATGGAAATTAGGAGATGGTTGCTGTCAGAAGTGATGTTGCAGGCAGGACAGCCCTGGCTCCAGGACACACACACGGGCACGTACCCATGGCACCCTACGTGGCCCTTGATCCGAGCTCACATGGGGCACGTTTGGGTGCTTGTGTGAATACGAGTGGCGCGGTGGGCGCTGGAGCTGCTCCACAGTTTAGATTTAGCTCCCTCCCTTTCCAAACGAAGCCAAGGGTGCTGTTTCTGAAAGCATCTCCCAACAGCAGCAGCAGAGGAAAACAAATGATAGACAAAGTGCCTCTGCTTTCACAATAACCCATTAATTTTGCCTAAGTTAACCCTTGAACTCACTGCAGTGGGAAGGGGCTCTCTTTCCGCCCTAACCCCAGCAGCTTATTCAAACACTGGAAATTAAAGATCACAGAATCCCAGAATGTGAGGAGTTGGCAGGGACCTGGAAAGCTCCCCCAGTGCAACCCCTGCCACAGCAGGATCACCAGAGCAGTCACACAGGAACACGGCCAGGGCTTTGGGTGTCTCCACACAAGGAGACTCCGCAACCTCTCTGGGCAGCCTGGGCCATGCTCCAGAACCCTCACACTCACAAACTTTTGGCCTCATCTTCAGCTTGAACCTCCTGTGCTCCAGCTTGGGACCATTGCCCCTTGTCCTGCCATTGGCCATCCCAGAGCAGAGCCTGGCTCCTTCCTCCTGACACTGCCCTTTCCCAATGGATCCCCAGGAATGAGGGCACCCCTCAGTCTGCTCTGCTCCAAGCTCAAGAGCCCCAGCTCCCTCAGCCGCTCCTCAGCAGGAGATGCTCCACTCCCTCCAGCATCTCTGTGGCCCTGCTGGACTCTTTCAAGCAGTTCCTGTTTTTCTTGACCTGAAGGGCCCAGAATTAAACACAATATTCCAAATGCAGTCTCACCAGGGCACATCTTCAGGGAAGAAGCCACACAAATAGGTAGTCTGAGGGAATTATTTAAAGAGGCAAGCCAAGCCAAGCCAGGAATTTCCAATACAATTTTTGGGTTGTTCACAGAAAGACGTGGCTCCTTTTATAACTTTGAGAGGTTTTTAGCATGCAGGCTATATGCAGCTTTTTATTAGATGTCAGAGGTACATTTGATTCCAGAGCCTCCCACTTAAGTGTAATTTAAATCTTGCAAACATCCTACACATGTACCTTATGCAACATAAAGTGAAAATAACGTTTTAGATCTGAATCATCACTCAATAAAGCTGACAGAAAAGGTAGAAAAGGGAGTGATTAGCTCCTCAGGTATTCAGCACTGTGCCTCAGAAGGAGGACTTTTAAATACTAACAGGCAGCAAAACAACTTTTAGATCATTCTGGGTTTTCTTTGATAGTGGTGAGCTAATTTAGATCTGCATGGGAGAGGTAGAAGTGCTCCCCTTCAATCTGGTTGTGTTGGAGACTCATCACCACCTACAACTGCCTCAAGGGAGGTTGTAGAGAGGTGGGTGCTGGTCTCTTCTCCCAGGTGATGGGGGATAGAACAAGGGGAAACGGCACCAAGCTGTGCCAAGGGAGGTTCAGGTCAGAGCTAAGGAGGAAGTTCTTTACTGAGAGGGTCGTCAGAGGCTGGCACAGGCTGCCCAGGGAGGTGGTGGAGTCACCATCCCTGGATGTGTTTAAAGAGCGGGTAGATGAGGTACTTAGGGATATGGTTTAGGGGGTAGACAGGAGCGGTTGGACGTGATGATCTCAGAGGGCTTTTCCAACTGAGCGATTCTGTGATTCTATGATTCTGTGAGACTAAGCCAGTTCTGGTGGTCTGCATCTGAAAGGGACTTTCAGTCCAAAATGAGGGACATTCATGTAGAGGGAAAGACCTGGCTGGTGTTTGGGGCACAGCGCTGGGCAACGTGAAGCTTTATTTCTGTCCCTAATGGTGACACACTCCTGATCTGTGACCCAGAAAAGACCAAACTGTCAAAGTTACTGGGTAGTTTTGAAAATCTGAACCTCTTGTTTCCCTACTGCAGTTTATTCCAAAGGAAGCAAATGCTGCAATATCTCACATCGTTCATACAAAAACTAGATATTTTTAAATCCCCTTTAGAAAAAATAAAGGGTGTTTAAACATTTCTGTATTCTCAGCATTGCAAATAAGAACGTATCCACCTGATGTGAAGATTATTTTCTTTTCTTTTACAATAATTTCGTACCACGGTGAACTCGCTGATAAGATGCGCTGAGCTCTCACAGAAGGATTTGGTGCCGTCATTGAAATAATCTGCAATCTGATGAATCAGTGCTTTTCTCAGCCAGTTTGCCCAAGTGTTTATCTGAGAGGCTTAAACCCGCTGGCGCGGTTATACAAACTCAGGCTTTGGAAGGTGCCGTGCTCTAAAGGGAGATGGAGATAACCATTTCTACAACCGCTTCTGTTTTCTCACAGGAAACATGCGAATCTCTCTTGAATTTAACCTTGGAAGAGGTGAGGAAGAACTACGAGGTTGAAAAACCCCGGAAGAAATTTCTTGGCCTCATCCCAACGCCTTCCTCAGCCCCGGAGGCGCCCAGTCCCGAATTCGGGCTGGTGGTCGACGGGCGGACGCTGACCATCATCTTCCAGGGGGGCCTGGAGGAGAAGTTCCTGGCGCTGAGCAGGCACTGCCAAGCGGTGGTGTGCTGCCGCTCCACCCCCTTGCAGAAGAGCATGGTGGTCAAGCTCGTCCGGAGACAGCTTCGAGTGATGACTCTCTCCATAGGTACTTCTGGTTGAATCTCACAAGGGAAGGGAAGCAGGTTACTCCTTTACGAGTTACGGGAGTGAATATATTCTATGACCCATTTCCTGTGCTTCGAGTAGAGTAGAATAACATCAAATAGTCTTTCCTGATCAAAACCCATATGAAAGTCCTTCCTCAGCTTTCACTGAGCCCCCATGTAAGCAAGATGAAGGCTCTCCAAATTCAGGATCTCCCAGCAGTCCCTTTCATGCCGCCAAATCAAATGTACGTACACGTTCCCTCCAGAAAGCCTTCGCTTTGGGTGTGGGAAGCAGCCCACAGCAGTTACTGCTTTGTCTCTACATAAAGCCCTTTTCCTGTCAGATTTTCCCAACTGAGTTATCCCCAGAGCGGTATTAAGAACTGATTCATTTGCTTTTTACCTCCAAATAATGCGAAATGCTTTGAGTTTCCTGCTCCACTTCTGGTAAGCGATCCCACTAAAACCCTTGCAGAATTGATTTTTATGACTTAAGACTAAAAAAATGCACCTCTCAGGACCAAACGGAAAAGAAAAATCTCTGATGTCTTTAAAATTTCTTGCTTTGCCTTAGAGTTCAAAATATAAGCTTTCAGCCTACGACTTCATTTATTCTGCTTTACCAGCTAACCTAATTTACAGCCTCCACGTCGCAGGCAGCAACCATGGCTGTTCTTTCCATGGAAATTTGGTTATGTGTTTAACACATTGCTGCAAGTTGAACTGAGCAGAATAACTCCTGAAATGGGCTTGTTACACAGTCAACAGCAATCAAATTTATGACATAATTTGCAGAATTCGGTGAAGTCGAGCGCTGCAAAGCGTGTTGCTGAGCATATGGAGTTCACCGAGCAGCAACACACAAAGCAATGCAGATGTAGATGGTGTCTGGCTCTCCATGCACCACCCAGCCCATCCCAAAATCGGGCTTAGCCCAGGTGGAACCAGGTATCCAGGGAAGGAGGATGCTCCAGCTAAGACGAGCATGAGGTCGTGATTGCTCGGTGCCACCAGTCGCCCAAATTAAGATGCACTGCAGTACAGAACAGCCGTTGTTTATCAGCATAGCTGTTTCATTTCTTGTTCTCATACAGGCATTTTGTATTAAGCACCTTTTCTTGTTCTCCCTTTTCTTCCCACTGCAGGCGATGGTGCAAATGATGTCAGTATGATTCAGGCAGCTGATGTTGGGATTGGGATATCTGGCCAAGAAGGCATGCAGGTATCTCTTCAATTTATTTCCCCTTCTGTCACACGGTCTCTTGCTGCTTAATAAGTTTCACAGCAGCCCTGTGCTCTCGAGTGTCATCTTAGAGATGGAAGTTACTCTCATAAATCAATGTGCAGCTCATAATGATGAGTCCGGCCAAAAAAGCGTGTTTTGAGCCAACAATTAGCACGCATGGACAAACCTGTGTTTGCTCATGGGCCCGGAAAATTAGCAGCTGCCTGTCTAGTGTTAGGTTAGCATCTGGTTTCAGAGTGATCTGTGCTACAGGATCTCTAGGTTTTACTGATTCTTTTTCAGTGTTTTCTGTCCCAAATTCTTTCCCACACATCCCTCTTCCTCATTTCCTAAGATGGAGAGCTTGCAGAGGTAGAAATTCCAACTTACTTCTCAAAGTTGCTTTCTTCCTACAATATTCAATAGCAGGAAATCATTTCAACGTCCCTGTTCAAATTTCATCACATTGGATGGGAAAATGATCTACTGTAAAGTAACTTCTGCTCTTTTCACAAAGGCTGTGATGGCCAGTGACTTTGCAATATCCCGATTTAAGCACCTCAAAAAGCTGCTTCTCGTCCACGGACATTGGTGCTACGCTCGCCTGGCAAAGATGGTGATTTACTTTTTCTACAAAAATGTGGTAAGGTTATTAAAATTCGGGAAGTTTTCATCCTAGCAAGGGTTAAATCCAGGGCCATGGGGGTTTTGGTTTTGGTTTGATTTGGTTTTTGGCAGGTTATTACTCTCTCTATGGTTCCTGTTTATTCACTTTGCAGGTTTATAAGGTGCTACCCCGTTATTAATAATACGCTGCATAAAGCACTGAGGGAAATATGGTTTCTAAATATATTTTGAAATAGCATTATTCCAGCGGGAAAAAGGACTCGAGGCTTAGTAACTTTTATGTGGTGGTTCAAGAAACTTTATTAATAATGCCCACGAGCCTCAAACTAAAATTTGCATAAGGAAGAGAAGATTATTAGTGCTAGGATATAGAAGATGACTCTGCACGAAGAATTGGCCGTCTGTGAAACCTCTGAATTTTCGCATTTAATTTGATAGGAACCACTTGCAAGTAATGATGCAATCATATCTGGCATTTTTATTAAAAATTTAATGTATATGCAAATGAGCTGCGAATTGAAGAATAATGTAAAGTGGAAAGACCTGATGGTAATACAGTTTCTACAAGACTGTGCAAACAAGTCCGTTTGACATGAAATACACTTTGAGCATGAAAGGCTATTTACTTGGAATTCAAATCATCTGTATTTTTTGTAATACTTTTGAATAAGGATTACGTCTTATCAGTGTTAACCTTTGTAGTGGAAATGGAGACTTTTCTTCCTTGATCAGGCGTCCTTTTAGAGTCCAAAGGAGATTTACTTGCAATGTGAAATAGCTCTCCAGCCTGGGATGCTGCTCTTCTATCACCTCCCCAGTACCATTATGGAGCAGGAGGCCTTTGGTTCCTCATGGACAACCAGTTTGTCAAAGGGTTTCAAAATGCGGTGCTCACAGCTGTGAACAGATTACTTAATTATTCTCTTTAATATGTTCTTCTCTTTTTTCCTTCATTTATTTCCTACATCAGAGCTACGTCAACCTGCTCTTCTGGTACCAGTTCTTCTGTGGTTTCTCAGGCAGCATCATGATAGATTACTGGCAGATGATTTTCTTCAATCTCTTCTTCACCTCCATGCCCCCTCTTCTCTTTGGAGTCCTGGACAGGGACGTTTCTGCAGAAACCCTTCTAGGTTTGCCCGGATTGTACAAGAACGGACGAAATTCAGAGGTATGTCTTGGTTGCTGAGACATCTGCTCGAGAAGCCAAAGGACTACAGGATTTTTGGGTTTGTGAGGAGGAAGGGAGGAGTTGAGTTCAGACTTGGAACCAGATGATCCATTTAGGGTTTCTAGAATACTGATGTCCACTAATTGTAGCTCTCAGAAGAACTGATAAGGGACATATAATTAAAGTTGCTTCCTGGGTGATTGGTCATAGCTGGAAGATGTAAATGGGCAGGTTTATTCTGCCATTAATTACAGGGAGTAATCCAGTTTGGTACCAGCATCCTGTATTATAAGAACTGAATAGCCCTGTGTTTGGTGTTTCTGGTCTGAAGAAGAGATGATGGAGCAAATATGTGTGTGTGTGTGTATGTATGTATATGTACACATCACATACATAGAGAAAATTTCTCAGTGGACGCATAGGGAGAAATAAATAAACCAGGAGAAGAAATGTAATGCGTGAGGGTAAAATAGTTTAGCGGGTCCCTGATTAAAACTCTGCTCAGATTTGGTGCTTTGAACAGTCTCAGCCTGCTGAAGAAGAAAAGCTTGTTAAAAAGATTGCAGCAAAAGGTGGCAAAAAAACCCTGTAGACCCTTAAATCACTTCTTTTACTTTGAATAGTCAGTGGTGGTAAACCTCAGAAAATATGTACTAAATAAGTTATGTTTTCATCTCAGTTTGCCTGTCAGGTTTAGAGAACCAGTCTGACCTCTGTATGTTTGTGAGGAGCACATATATAGTGACTTACATACCTGGTTTTGCATATACATGCAGTGCAGTAGCCCTTATTCCCAATTTGCTTCAGCATATTGAATAGGAAACTATGAAAATGTTAATGAGGAACGTTTGATGTGGCCTTAGTTTTAAATCACAGAATTGCAGGGTACTTAGGAATTCTTCTGCTCCTTCTTTTTCTCCTAATACCTACTTTCATTATCCTGCACTGTGATTTTTAGCACTGACGAACATTGCTGGCTCACCTCGTGTTTAATGATGTTTTGAAAAACCTAGGCAAGGGAGTGCAGAATTTGAAGATTCTCTGTAGGACTTTCCAACCCTTTTCTTAGGAGCTCTTGGACCTCACATATATGCAAAATAAACGTTCTTTATAATTTTGAACAGGTTATTGTTGTTGCTTTGGCATTTTGTCTGCATTGAAACAACAGGAGCCCAGCCCTCTGTTGCTCCAATAATGCACCCCTCTCCATGGGAGCTGTGGCCACACAAGTCACTAGAGATGTTTAAATATGACAAGCAGTCAAATTAGAATGGCACAAAGTAGATGGTACTTTTAGAACCTTAACAGAAAGGAATTTTGGCCAATTCTGTAGCTCTTGAAAGAGCTTTGTTTGAGGAATGGGGTCCTATGTGGAGGGATGGGACACGTGTGACATTCAGCTTTAAGACCCTGAGTTGGCTGGCTGATCTTCCCAAGGCCTGTCTCTGTCCAACACAGAGAAAATGCCTGTTCAGACACAAGCCTTTGGTCTAAATCAACTGCTCAGGAGGCATTTACTCATGAAGGGGGACCAGTTAGCTATAATCAATAGCCCAAATGGCAGAAAACCGGACAGCGATTACGTCTGCAGGACAGGCTAGAGATGTGCATCCCATTGCAATGACTGTTATCTATAAACTCCTGCAGATATACAAGCTGTCAACTTTTATTATTACAATGTTGGACGCCTTCTATCAGAGCCTCATTTGCTTCTTTGTTCCCTATTTGGTAAGTACCGGGGTCTTTAATATTCTCATTCCCCTGTCCTCCTTAAAAAATAAGGAGGATAATTCTGAATATTCAGGCTTCATGACAGCCTACCTGCCTGTTTTCCAGACGTACAAGGACTCTGACATAGACCTGCTTTCCTTCGGAAACCCCATCAACACCATCTCCCTCCTGACCATTCTCCTGCACCAGGCTCTAGAAATGAAAACGTGGGTACGTGTTTGCCCTGCCCTGTATTTTCTGAACACAGCACACCGTGTAGATGTGGCATTGTGTTTCAGAGTCATTCACCTGAATTCTGGGTCACAGAAAGTAACAGATGCACTGAGATTCCACAATGAGCCAGAATTTATTATTAGCTGCAGGATAAGACCTCCATGTGGACAGAATTTGCTTCTACTGTGTCTTTGGACAGGACAGTATAAAATTTTCAGATATTTCAATGTGTGAGGATGTGTTTTTTAAATAACCGTATTATTCCCGATCATTGCTGTTTTGTAAGATAATTTCCAAATATTTTTCCCACTGCACTTTTCATTAGCATGCACTACCAAATGTGTTCTTCCCAATTCATCTTTGTCTCCTCCTGGCTCACGCCCAGGGTCTCTCAAGCATCGCCGTCATTTCACGCCATTCTGCTTGCAGACCCTGTTCCACCTGGCCACGATGGTCGGCAGCGTCATCTTTTACCTCGTCTTCTCCCTGACCTACAACGCCACCTGCGTGGTCTGCAGCCCCCCCGCCAGCCCCTACTGGATCATGGAGAAGCAGCTTTCGGACCCCACCTTCTACCTCCTGTGCCTCATTACCCCAGTCATCGCCCTCCTGCCGAGGTTTGGACGCTGCCCTGTTTCCCTCTCAGTTTTCTTTTATTGGATCTGTAGCTATTTGAGTGAAATAAGAATAACGATGTTTATGGATATGTGTTATGTCAGGCACATGTGTTGCACAGGGATAAGTGATCAGTGGGGAAGTCAGATGCTTGGGTTCAACTTTCCAGTTCATGAACCATTAATTCATTCAATTATACAAGCCTAAATAAGTCACTATGTATCCACTGCTTTTGCTTTCCCATCAGGAAAGCCTTGCTTCCTGGGGTGCTCCAAAGTTTACCGGTACAAATCTGCTACACCATTGTTCGCTGTCATAACCGCGGTGTGGTTGAGCTGATCCGGACTGGAAAGCAAGTCTCTGAAATATTCCTGTATGCTTTCAGAGTTACAAAATGCATTCTGTTTCTGAAGTACATTACAGTGCATCACTAAGCCAAATTTAAGGCCACGTTTCTATGTGAAATAATTTTCTGCATCCAGAATTTTAGTTCTACTCTGTGTGACAAGTCAGGTATGCTTCAAATCAGATAGCTTTAACTGAGGCTGGATAATATTTGGAGAGAGAATTATTTTGATAGGTTACTGGGAAAAAAAAGGTTTGAAAAACATAATTATTCTGTTCACATATATGGTAGCTTCACTACTTCTGGTGCTGAATACCTTAACCATTCTTTAAGAAGATATACTTTGAGTTGTACCACTTAAAATCTTTATTTGTGCTTGGATAATGAAAGAAATGGGGTTGTTTTACTATCTTGCTAGTCTCCTTCTCATCCTAATTGTCATGAAGCGGTGCAGCACACTGGTTTTACAAGAATCAGGAAAATATTTATGGTATCTGATTTTGCAAGTGCTTTAAGGCATTAGAATCTGAGCCTCAGCTTTGTCTAGAAAGAAACCTTTCAAGACTAGAGAATATTTTTCTTCAAATTATTGTTATTCTTTCCCCATTTGAGTTGAGATGCTCTGGTGTTTTCATGTCACGTTACACAGCTTCAGGTCAGGATAAACAGCACACAGTTCAGTAAGGTCCCATGTCTTCTGGGCAGGGCATCCTTCTCTGGCCTGTTTTGCCCCTGTGTGATTTTTGGTTTCCTATCGGCCCCCATTCACGGTGTCAGTTTTGACCCTGAGCTACATCAAAGACGTGGCTGGAGAACTCATATCCCCATCCTGGGAATTCGGCAAGGCTAAAATCATTGCTCTCTCAGCAGGGTACTGACCTTAAAGATTTGTATCTTGCTATCTCCAAAGTTGGGGAACGGCTGTTCCTCCATGTACGTACCCCAGATTATTTTCTGCAGAGTCCTCAGTTCGCAGAATATCCAGCCCCTGGGTTCTGCTACAACTTGGCTGTGTCCACATATCACAGCAAAACCACCCTTTATTAAAAAAGCACTTAATTTTAGGTTTCAGTTGGTTCATCTCATCACGTCGCCTGCTCCCCATGTTCTTCAGAACCCAGTTGGAGCCTTGAGATTCCGGTTTCTTTCTAAGAGGTTTTGTCACCATCCTTGCTCTCCTCAGCTCCTCCTTTTGCTGGTGCCCTCTGTGCTGGGGGACGTTTCTGGCACCGCAGGCACTCGGGGCAGGACCAAGTGCTTTAAAGCCATTCAGGGGATGGAAGAGGCCGTTCTCCTTCCCCTCTCTGTCCTCTGTCTGCTCCAGCTGCAGCTTGCCCAGGAGAGGGGCAAGGCAGAGGACCACGAGATCCACCCCAGATCTGCTCAGACCGACCTGGGCTCTCTGAAGCTGTGCTACCAACTGTGCAGCCTGAGATGCTGTGGGATCAGCTCCAGGATGAGCACAGGCATAGCAAATACCTGTTTATCCACTCCTACCTGTACAGGTTGGCCTGGGAAATCCATTGCCTTAACAGCCCTTTCTGTACTTAGTCTGCCTCGTCTTTTAACCTCGTTATACTGATTTATGCACACAAATAGCATCAGAATGGGAAGATGGCAGCTTTCTTAAGGCAATTTCAGAAAGTCCCCGTGTTTGTTTTAAAATGTATATTGAGGCCATCTATGTAAAGGTCAAATCCTGTTAGAAAGATGCTTTGAAAGAGGCTCTGGTTTTCAGTCAGAACCGACCTGTCACGGAGGGAGGATGCGTGCTCTCTGACTGCACACAATATATTGTTCTACAAGTTCTCTGTCCTGCAAAGGGCAGGCAGGACATTTGGGGTTTTATCGCTTTCTGAGCAAATGCACAAGCTGAGGTTTTTTTAAATTCTGGGTTTGTGTTACCTATCAGATTAAGATCCCTTTTTCAGTCTGTTTTAGCAGTATAAATATAATTTCAATCTCCTCAAATGCTGCATCCCTTGGTGAGCTTCTTGCACTATATCTTTCCTGCACTGTTCATCAACCAAGTGGTTCTATTATCATTTATTTAGTGTTTATATACACGTAGGTGACTGTACAAGTCAAGATAAGTGTATAGGTACACGCTGCACTAAGATCCAGGAGTCAACTTTCATCTGCCAGGTATAAGGTACCAGATGCACATAGAGCAATGGAAAATTAGCAACTGGATTTATGTTGTGATGGAGATTATGGGAAAAAAACCTTGGTAAAACAATTCATTCTCTTCCTCTTTCATCAGGTTCTTTATTTTTGCTCTACGGGGAACCTTTGGAGCATCTCTGATTCTGCAAGCACAGCAGCTAGATAAACTTCCCAAAGGGCAACGGGATCTCGAAATCCAGAAACTGAGCTCAAGGAAGCAAACTGCTCCTGGTGCACCTGTGGCATCAGCTGCATCTAACGATGACCTCGACCAAACCAGCAGCCACTTGTGTGTGTCGCCGTTCTTACACCCGGTGGCAGCAGCTGTGTCTCATGGGGACACAGCAAGGCAGGGACTTTCTGCCTCTGAAGCGAATCCTCTCAGGAACTGGACACCAGAAGAAGGCTGCTATTTCTATAACAGGTGGGCAGAGGAGGAATCCGCTGCCACAGACCCTGCAGCAGGGCCTTCCTTGGGCCATTGCCCCCTGGTACCCAGCAGGGTGACAACTGCACAGGATAAACTGGCTAAAGATAACGCCAGCAATTTTAACCACGGCAGCCACCGGCGATCTGTGAGCGCAGTGACGCTCTGAAGAGACGTTCAGATGGGATCCATGGCTCGTGTGGAGAAGGATAGCACAAGGAAAATAAAAAGTCTGTTTATACTTAACCATGATGCTCAGTGCAAAAGGAGAGAGAGGTGTGCGGAGTAGTGCAATAGCATCTCTAATATGCAACTTTTCCCAAGACCATATAGAGTTTGGCTTTGTCAGTGCACGACTTCTTGGTGTTCCTGGTTCTGTCTCATTAGAGGAATGTTACATGAGCACCACACAGTTGCTGACAAAAGTGCAATTACTTTCTCTCATCAAGGAATGGATTTCTTTCACAGTAATAAGGAATAATTGCACGGGTGATGTACCAATGTCGATATGATGTACTAGTACCAGTACCAATATGATGTACTAGTACTAGTGTTGTATCAATATCAATATGCTACTGAGGTAAGCCAAGTCTCAGAGCAACACATCCCACTGTAGCTTTTACCACCAAAGCCTTAAATACCTTACTTAGAAACTTAAAAAATGCAGTTCTGCCTGGAAAAAAAATGTTACCTCCTGGTACTAAAGGTATTTGCAGAATAACAGCATCAGAAAGACACTGGATAATGTTCTGGTTTTTAATATATGGACTTTATCCATATACCAATATCAAGTTCACAGTCTGTTTTCAGTAAGCTCAGTATTTTTATGCAGGCAGTGGTTTGACCTGATGCTGTTTAGAAAAGGACGAGTGAGTTTATGAAGCAGAAGAATGCAAATACTGAGCTACGAGAACTGACAGGATCACTCAGGGATAAGTGGAGTGTACTTCTTCATACCTACAAAAGCAGACAGATATAACAAGCCAAATTCAAGGATTTATGCTCTAGAATTCTAAAGCTGTCCCTGCTATTTCATCTAGAAATTCAGTCTTTTCCTCCCATTCTCTATATTATTATGTAGTGTTGCTGCATTCAATCAAGTCTAAATCATGCTGGTCCCCACAGCTGGTTACATTCGGTAGTTCATGGAGATTGCAATAACAGAGATGTTGACAAGCAATATATGAAGGTCGCTAATCACGTCGCAGTAAGTACATGGTGTAGAATGGCCGAAAGATGCATCACACATTCAGCCTTTCCAGTAATTCTGGGCAAGAAGATGCAGGAAAAAAATAACCATAAAATGTCACCATCATCACTACCTATTGCAATTCAATGGAAGGTGACTTTGGTATTTCTTATAGAAATGTTGACTAGTAAGACCATTTCCCGAGTTTTTCTTCACAATGTGGGGTGTAATCTTAACTACGTTTGTAATTCAAGCCATCTGTGTTTTTGTGAATCTACCACTGGTTCTAATTTAAGTAAGCTTTTAGCCTTTTTTATATATGCTGTATTAATTGAGCTGTTTATTACCTATCACAATGTGTGATCTGTTTAATAACCTATTTAGCAAACACTGATTTAACTCCTGTGTGTTATACTAATTGCTGTAACTGAAGTCTCGTATCTGCCACTGGGATTTCTGGTAGCTGGAGGAAGAGCGCACGTAGACTGTCACTGCTAAAGGATTAATCGTCAGCTCTAAACCAATTCAGACAGAGATTTTTTGGTATGATGGTCAAAATGAAGGGAATTAGGCATAGCTGAGGTTATTGTCAATGGGGTGTGAGATTGCTCGAATGTTTGCTCCCTAGCAGGGAACGGACCCTGGGTGACAAGACGTAAGATCAAGCCCTTGCGATTCTCAGCCACGTTTTGACATTAAATGGCCCGTTTCCTTTGAGCTTAAAGAAGATGCCAATCTCTCATACATTTTATTGCAAAATGTGAAGTGTTTTTGTAGTAATAAATGTGATACGGTCATGACTCGGTGTGTTGTTGAGAGGGCAAAAACGGAGGCAGAGGGACTGGTTTTCCTGTTGTCATCCATGGGTGGTGAGCTCATCTTTTCAGAGATGGCTCCTCTCTTTAGGAGGCCACGCTATAGCGATGCTTATCATAAAAACCAGATACCAAATTTATCAGAATGTGCAAGAGGACTGAGCATTTACTGTTAAGGGCCATTCAAGTTATGTTTAAGCAAATCTGTAGATGTTCCTGAACTCAAAGCCAAGAATTAATTCCATGTTATCTCATCACAGCCCGTGGTTAAGGGAGGGTCCTTTTCAGAAGGGGAGACGAAGGAAGGATGTTTATGATCTCCAGCAGAATAGCTCCTAAAAGCTCTATTTTTTTCCAGTTATAGCAAATTCTCCAACGAATTTATTTGCAAGAGGGGAAATGTATTTACTAAGTGGGTTATTTAGACCTAACTGGTTTTCCAGGATAGCTATTTTTTATTTCAAGACATATTTAATAATACTGTCAAGATGTACGTTCCATTAGTTCTAATGTGGACGATTCCCAGCAGAAGAGGGCTCTCACTTTTTAATGCATCCTCTGGTGGTATTCAACGTTTCATACACTTGGACTGTAAAACAGTAAAACCGATGGGGTTTTTGTGAATTTACTGCATACTTTTTATTTTGGTGGATGATATGATTACAATGATGATACTGCATATGCGACAGTGCTTTGAGCTGTACGGAGCTATACCTGTGTGACACACTGAAGGTGGCACCTCATACAGATGTGGACAGGAGCTGATTTACCAGGGCTATGGCTGAGGAACAGATGCAATCCTGGGCCAGTGAAAGGCCACCCATCGTGTTCTCAACACAGGCAAGTTGCTTGGGTTTCTTTTAATACAAGGTGCAGCAAATACACTTGATACTTCATCCATATCTGAGCACAGCAAGGTGGAGATGTGGCTTTGGTAGCTATGGCTGATTATCTGCTTGATATCAGCAAGAACTGCTCAGTGTAAAACCCAGAATCATTCAGGTGGGATAGAGGGAGGAACCCAGTTTGTCCTCTTTCCTTATATATCTCAGAACTACAAACTCGGGTTTTAAACTCTGTAGAGACAGATGTGCATCGTGCACTACTTTCCCCAAGGAGGAATTGAGTGTATTTTGCCACTTTGCTGGCTGATGCCGCAATGTTTAATTCATTTGTTTGATTGCTGTTTGAGGTGGTGTGTGGGTACAGAGCTATTTGCTTTAGGGGTAAGGTGACTGCAGGCAGGATGTGGCATGATTAGGTACTTGTAACAGCGCTGATGAGTAAAAATATAAACGCAGAGACGAGAGACTCTTGAAGATAATGATCGCAGAGGGTGGGACTTAGAGAGCTGACCAAATAACGCTGAGGATCTATAAAGTACTTTTGACATTGCCGGTGATTGGAACTTGCTGCAATTATCGGTACATGAGATAACTGTGAACAGAACTTGCTGCCTGGCTCCTTAATATAACACCTGATTATTCTCAGCCACATAAACAAGGCTGAGATTGAACGGAGTCTGAATCATTATTTGTCCAAAAATATCAGAGGGCTCTGTTGTCTGAAGGCATTGAAGGCGATGGTGATTTACCCACCATCCCCACTGAAGTATTCTCCCACCTCCAGCCATGCTTTGCAGGTTTCT